TTAAGTCAGACAAGCTTACCCGAGTATCTTAAAAAGAGCTTGCAAACAAGTGGTTGCTTCTGTTGCCTTCAATTCAGCTCTCAGTGTCGCAATAGCCTTCTGCAGGTGGCTGCAAACAGCAGTAAAAGGATCTTGGATTCTCTGTAATTCTTGATCATCTGGATCTGGTTCATCAATTTGCATCCTAGAGACTTCATGTGACGCTGCTAAATCATCATCTAGATCAGGCTCAGCCTGAACAACTTGATTTGTTTCAGATTTATCAGGGTCGGGTTCTTTATAAGCTTTATTTGGTCGGGGTTGGTCTTTAATGGTTTCAGTTGCTAGAGAATCATCAGGATCAGGTTCATCAATGGTTTCTCCCGAGTGAACCTCACCATTCAGGTTGCCCATCATCTCACGGTGATTGACTTGAAAATCACTAGGATCAGGTCCATTCTTGCCTTGATTAAAAGAATGTTCATCAGGACCAGGCTGATGCTGAGGTTTCCACTGAGTTTTATGTGGATTTTCAAGATCTACATTTTCTTTTCTCCTCAGAATCAGGTTCATTATGCATGTTAAAAACTGAATCATCTGGGTCAGGTTCTTCATGTATTTCAGAGATTCCAGAGCTGTTGGATGAGGCATTTAATAAAAGGCGATAAGCAGCAGCCAAGGAAGATGCACGGCACTAGCCAGCTGATCTGACACAATCTCCCGAGCTTCTATTGTCTGAAACATAGAGGTCTTCGCTGTACTGGTCTGGATGATTGATAGCACTCAAGGCATGCTCCCTTGATTTACTCCAATTAAACTATTATTTTCTTGGTTCAGCTGGTAGAAAAACACGCAAATTTAGACAAGGCTATTTCTGTTGAACTTAAGCGGTAGTTACGGCCCAATCATAAACATGTGTGTGGATACACATTTGTTCCTGTTTATCCAAAGCATAAAAGTTTGCATTGTGTTCTGAGTACACCATGTGAGTCTGAAAGGAAAATAAGAGTTAAAATGAATATCTCAACAAGAATAATCTAAAAATCTTGAGAAAAAGGGGAAAGAAAAAAAATGATTATGAGGATTACAAGTTCATGCAGAAGAGTTTTCTAGATGCTTTCATATTTCCTGAAATCCTTGAGCTCATCATGAGAAGATAGTGATGATGAGAAGGCATATGTTTTTTGCATATATTATTTCATTGTAACACAAAAGGTTTTATACAGAGAATAGAACTATACCAGGAAATATACATCATGAATGCCCAATATCATGGCAGATCACCAGCAGCATATTGTTCTCCTTGAATCTCTCCAAGTCTTCATTATACCAGATCATGCTGCAATTTGTTGCCAAGTAGAGTAATGATTTGTTTCCTTTAACACTCTCCCTCGGGTTGGTGTGTGGATGTCAGAACCCCTAACTTGCTTAGATAGAATTGGAAAGTAGCTTGCCCTGAAGGTTTTGTGAACATGTCTGCTACTTGTCTTTATGTTTGTATGTATGCTATCTTAATTTTCCAAACCAGTACAATCCACCCTCTTTAAGGAGCCCAACAACCCCGTCTGCACCATCGGACAGCTAGTGAGCTGAGCTCTGATATCAAATGTAACACCCCACTCCAGTAGCAAGATATTGTTTGCTTTGGTCCACGGGCCTCACGGATTTGTTCTTGGCTGCCACGCGTGGCCCCAAAATATGTCTTGCTAGTCAAGGTGAACATGCTTATATAAGACCCTTCCCTAAGTCCTCACCCGTCAATGTGGGATATTTCAAAAGAAGTTAGCATGCAGTTAATCAAATAACATGCGATCTGGACACTTTCACCCAAAAAATTAAAGGTCGATTTGCTTGAAGTCAAAGAGCATGATTTATATTCAAAAGATCATAAGATGACTTTGTTCTACGATCCTATTTTATTAAGGCATGGAGAGACACTAATGTTGAAATATTGTTCCATGATCACAAAAAAAAGAACGCATATACACCAACTCACTTCTATTATCAATACATAAGGCTTTAATACTATAATAAAATTGAATTTCATTAACATAGATGAAAAATAATTTCAACTATGATTGTGTTTTTGATTCAACATCTATGAGATGAATCCAAGTGAATTATGAAAAATCATCAAGAATAGTTTAATAAAAAAATCATTAGAATTAATTTTATGAGATCCTTAAATATTACAATGAACCAAATCAAAAGGTGTAATGAATGGAACTAGAAGATAATCGTGTTTGCTTAGCTAGCGAACAAACTTTACAAAAACATTGGAAATTAGGAATTATTTTCGAAATGGTTTTATATAGTAATAAAAAAAGAAAGCTCCTTAATTTATATGGAAATTGGATGTCCAAGTCTTAGAGTAACTTGTTACCCCCTAAAAAACAATAAAACAATGAGCATGGATTGAGAGCTAATCTAGACCTTCTTAAAGAATCTTGGTTGATGGTAACTATAAGAAATGATTAAAAGTTAGAGGCAACTGATAACATAGAAAAAAAATGGAAAACTAGCACTAAAATAAGATGGTTTTTTTAGAGTAATTAGGATAGTGAAAGCTAATACTTACCATCTTTAAGATATGAAAGGCAAAAATTTCCTTCATGCTTAACACTTAGATCATCTCAAAATGTATTATAGATTGAAATGTAATTTTTTAAGAAATATATGTCTTTTTATTGTATATTTACTCCCACTTGCTAGTGCAATCTCGAACTGACACAACACTCTGGTAAGGCTTTAGGCCTCCTACTCACCATTGTAGTCTTAGACTGGCATAACACTTCAATTAGGCTTTTGAGCCTTACCTTATTACTAGGGATAACCTCGAGCCTTCCACTTGTTAGTGCAGTCTTAGGCTAGCACAAGACTCTGGTTGAGCTTTCAAGCTTTACCCTATTACCAAGGATGGCCTAGAGCCTTCTACTTGTCAGTGCAATCTCAGATTAGCATAACACTTCGATTGGGCTTTCGAGCCTTACCCTATTATCAAGGATGACCTTAAGTCTTCCACTTGCTAGTGTAGTTTTTTATTAGTACTTAAAAGTGTATTTTTATTAAGGTTCTATATCATCATTTTACACTTGAAGTATCAATAACTCTTTAACTAGAGTATGTTTTATAATAACAAGTCTGATAATATAAGATAACTTTAATTTATGGTAAATGCTCATTTTAAATATAGGCAAATCTCATAATTTAAAAAATTGATTGATGTGATTAACTATTGAAAATAAAAGGACAAAGGAAGGGCTAAGGTTAAAGAAGAGATGCTGAATCAAACTAGAACACCATTTAGTCATTTGATTATATCTAAAGTTGTGGACTTAGATCGATGTTAGGTTTATTATTTTGGAAAGTTAAGGCATAGGCCTAAAATTTTTATGAAAAATGGAAAACCCAAATCTGTCTTTTTCAAATTCAAAGCTTGGCCACGAAAGAGAAGTCAAAATTTATCTTGCAATTCAGCCCAAATACTGCTCAAAATTTTACCTATAACTAAAGTTCTATAAGGTAAAATGATATCAAATATGTGGGTGGAAAGATAAGACAATGTCCAACAATTTTTATGAAGACCGCCTGCTCAAATTCTAATGTTAGCAATGATATTTTGTTCAAACAAGAGCTTGAAAGCTATCCACCACGTTCACCAAAAGCATTACTTAGTATTTTAGTCATATCTCAATCTGTAGTGATTCAAATGCTCTAAAATGTTGTGGGTGGAAAGAGGAGATGATTTCTAACAACTTTCATGAAGAATACTTTGTCAAATTCTGATGGCATCAATGTTATTTCATCCAATCAAAGTGCTTGAATGCTGCTGTTTATCAAGTTTACTAAATCAATAGTTGGCTAATACATCAATAATTAATTACCAAATAAATAGTTTCAAATTTTAGCCTATAAAAAAAGACATTTGCTATTCATCTAGGCATTTTGGTTTTCAGATCAAGATTATTTTCTTGTTTACTTTCTTTTTTTGTAATGTTTAAATTTTATTTCATATTTTATTTTCATTAATCTCTTGTTTATACTTTTCATTTCCTTTATTACTTGTAGTTAACTTATATCATAATTATGTTCTTATCTTATTTATTTAAGTTCTTCTTCTTCATTATGTCTAGCTAAGGCAATTATGTCAAGGTGAAAATATTTCACTAATGGTATTAGAATATGAATAATATAAACTTAACATATACTTTAATGTTTATATCCAAGAAAGTTTGTTATTAATATGTCTTATCCTTTTATTTTATCAATTCTTAATATCTTGTTTGTTAAATAGTTAATCTAGATTTGTGTTTTATAACACTTGGTATATCAAATGTTTGATCTTTTATAGTTTTCGATTGATATTGTTGTTATGAGATGAACTTGATTTGTTGTTAACATAAGTTAGTATCATGAATTCCTAACAATATTTAAAAGTGGTGTTACAAAAATAAGATAATTAATGTGATCATGTGAAAAATTTATAATGAACTATTAAGGAAAAATCATCTGATTGGAACCTTTTTTGTGTGTAATTTCTAATTAAGTAATAAAAAACAATTATACTATACTTATTTCTAATACCATTAGTAGACCCTCTAACCTTAATATCTATTTTTATTATTGTTTAATCTTCATATTAATTTCTCATCTTAAAGATCTTTTTAACTCTTTGTTAAAATATATGTATTAATTATAATTTATATAGTTGATCTCCATGTGAATAAACCTTGGTCTTACTAGATTATTTATTATTTTAACACTCCTACACTTGGGATAAAACATTAATCTTTTGATTATGTCAATAAGATAACTTTAATTTATGGTAAATGCATTTTCAATACATACATATCTTACAATTCAAAGAAGTGATTGATATTGACACAACTAAAAGATTGACGTCTTCTTCTAAGTACAGAAGTGTTAAAGTAATAAATAACCTAGTAAGATCGGGGTCGAATTGTAGGGAGGTTAACTATAATAATAATAATAATAAGTTAAAGAGGACTTTGAGATGTAAGACTAATATGAAGATTAAACAATAACAACAAATATTAAGGTTAGAGAATCCATTAATGATATTTCAAACAAGTATAATATAAATTTTTTTAATTATTTAATTGGAAACCACATACAAAGCGGGTTCCAATCAGATTATAAATGATTAACATGATTATATTAATTATCTTATTCAAATAATGCTAATACTTGTAAATATTGTCAGATATTCATGATTATAACTTATATTAACAACAAAGCAAACTCCTTTCATAGCATAAGTGTAGGTTATACCATACAGTTGGGTTATGAAAGTGTTAAGTATTTGTTGTCCTAATGTTATACAACATAAATCTAGATTAACCATTTAACAAGCAAAGTATTAAAAGGAAGCAAGATAATTAATACAAAACATGTTAGTATGAAACATTAAAGTCCATGTTGAATTTATACTATATTTATTTTTACATCATTAGTGTAACCTTTTTACCTTCACATAATAAACTTAACTAAACATAATGAAAGAGAGAAACATAATTAAATAAGATAAGAATATAAATAAGATATAAGTTAATAAAGTAAAGGAAAGGAAAGGAAAGGAAATGAAAAGCATAAACAAGAGATTAATGAAAGCAAAACTTAAGCATTATAAAAATAGAAAGAAAGAAAGTAAGAACATGATCTTAATTTGAAAACCAAGATGCCTAAATGCATAACAAATACCTCCTTTTATAGGACAAAATTTAAAATTATTGATTTATTTACTAATTGTTGAGTAGGTGGCCACATCTTGACTTAGTGACAATTCTTATCTTCTAGTTTGCCAAAAACGCCATTGCTAACATCAGAATTTAGACAGATTATTGTTATGAAAGTTCTAAGAAATTGTCTTAGCTTTCTAACAAAAACAAATTAAGTCATTTGGACTTTTAGAACTCAAGATATGGGTTGAACATTGAAAAGTGTCTAAGCTTAAGGATAGATTCAGACTTTTCCATTGTTACTAAAATTTGGACTTCCAAATAGCAGAATTGATCTTGCATTCTTTATGAATGTTTTAGGCCTATGTCTTATCTTTTTATCCATATAGAGTAGACCTAAATCCAAATTCTACAGATCTAGATATGACTCAATGACTGAATAGTGTTCTAGTTTGGATTCAACCAGCATTTCATTTCTAAGCTTGGCCCGCTCCTTGTCTTCTAAATTTCAGAAGTTAGACGTATTAATCAATCCTTTTATTTATGTGATATGCTTGCTTTGAAGATGAATATTTACTATAAATTAAAAGTATCTTATAGTATTAACATGATATTATAAAACATGCTCTACTTAAGGAGTTATTGATACTTTAAGTGCAAAATGATGATATAAAACCTTGAGAAAAATGCACTTTTAAGTACTAAACACATATCTCACAATTCAAAGGATTGATTGATGTAATTAACTATTAAAAGTGAAAGGACAAAGAAAAGGATAAGTTTTGAAAATAGATGCTGATTCAATTCAAACTGGAACATTGTTCAGTCATTGGGTCATATCTGAAGTTGTAGATCTTGTATTTCAGTTTCGTTTATATGGCTAGAAAGCTAAAACATAGGCCTAAAATATTCATGAGAGTCTAAGATTCAATTCTGCGGTTTGGAAGTCCAAATCTTAGCATCAAAAGAGAAGTCTGAATCTGTCCTACAAC